TTTACTCTCTTTGAAATTCTTTTGCTAGTTTTCTGGGTTCTACACACTGGGTTGTGCTGAGCCACATATACACCTCCCTCTTGTTGCCCTGGCTAACTCAGGGAGACATTCACACTCTTTTAATGAACATAGGGAGAAACCTTTACATCACCAGCTGATCCACTCAGCTGTTGGTAGTGGTTTATACAAAGCAAAGACCACTCTCAGGTCCCCTTGGTGCTGAGATCACTTCAGCTTCTTGGCAACAGCTGCGAGCAGTCCCAGCCTGCGTTGTTCCCCGAGCTTCAGGGGTATGTCTCTCTGGCGCATCTCTGCTGAGCATTCTTACATGGTAGGGGTTTACTGGTCAGTCACAGAAGATGCACATAGAACAAATAAATTGGTCTTTTAGTGTCTGGCTGGTCTATATTGCTATCTCCTTACCGCGATGTTGATGCTTTTATGGCTCCCTTGTTATGTCAAGAAGTTACATTTCTGACCGTCTATTCCCAAGCTGATGTGCAGCCGTTCTGTAGCTGAGGAAGGCAGGAAACAAGAGGAAAAAGATAAGATTAGTTCTTTAATTTCACAGAGAAGGACGTACTTAGGTCTGTTTTGTGATTTCTGTGTTGAAAATAGCAAACATATGCAGTGACTACAGCTGATATTAGCAATATGGTTTAATTAGTCTGGTTCCAGGCTCAGGGAAAGAAAAATGTGGATCAGACTTAGTAATGAGGATCACAGTTCACAATGGCAGGGAAAAATGCTGAGTGTAAGAGTAATTGCATTGCTTTGCAGTGCTTTAACCTTAACCTGTCATTTTTTCAGCACTCTCCTTCATTGCCCCTTGCATGTTTCTCTTTTTTTGTTCATGGCCTCAGAACACTTCCAGCAATCTGTACTACAGACATGTCAGTAGTCCTCTGCTCCCTTGGCATGTGGTTCATATTACTGTCCCATCCACTTTTGTATTCTTTTCCCCACAAAATTCTTGAGAAACCGAACTGCCAGTAAATACTGTTTTAATTATACCCACATAGAATATTTCACAAAGCCCAGCACCAAAAGCAGTGTTTAAAGCACGGTGCGAAATATACATCATTAAATCATGTCTGCAGTATTGTATGAAATGTTTGTAGAAGCAAATATAATGGGGAAGAGACTGCAGTCGTAAAGGAGGCTGGAGGAGAGGTCAGGATGTTGCTTTTCCTAAGCTTGTGCTTTTTATTTTTTAATTTTTGTGTCTTTCAAAACTCAGATGTACAGTGCTTTGCGTTTTAAAGATAGCATGTTTTACACTGTTACTTTATAATAATAATAATAGTAATAGAAATAATTGTTGTTGTATATTTAATATGTAAAATCCTGGCAGGATAGTATTGGGTATAAAATGTGGTGCATATACATTTCAAAAAACAACCTGCTGTTGTCCTTGCAAAAAATTTCATAGAAATGTAGCTTCTAAGTTAAGGTAGGTGATGCATTTTTTTCTTAATACCGTGCATCTAATTTATTTTCTGAATGAATTCTTATTTCCTTGGATGATAGTAGAGAAGCAAGTTGGCCTTTTCAGTCATTGCTCTCGCATGTGTTGACCTTGTCTGTCCTGTTGGACAGTTTGGAGGCATCAGCATCACATAGTTGGCTTTCTCCTGGTGTAATTCAATACTAGCTCTATTGGATCAGTAAAAAGTTCATGAATACAGGCTTTGTCAATGAACTCTTTTCTCTCTCTATAATGTAGTTCTCTGTGGGAGCTGTTGCTTAAAGGTTCAGACCAGTGTGTTGTACAGACAGAAATCTTTGTGGTATCTGCATTAATTTTTACAGACTTCTGAGGTTTTGATCTGTGTCATAATCTTGTGTCATTAAGAGGCAGCCCACCTTGAACTAGAAATGTCTGTTATAAAGGTTAGTGATAGTAACTCTGCCTTGTCTATCACTGTTTGCTGAGGGGAGAAAAAAAGCAGTATGCCCCATGGCTACTTCCACTGTCCTTTTTTTCTCCACTGTTGTATCCCATAGTGATTCAATGCTGCAAAGTTACAGTCGCGACTGGTCTGCTGCCTTCCAGTCGAGATTCTTAAATGGAATCTTTCCAACTTTAGTATTTTGGATTATTAAATTTGCATTCAAAATGTGAGCTTTTTTTCACTGGAATGACTTTTTTTGTTAACTGTAGCTCTTTGCTTGGATGCATCCTTGTTTGTTTTACAGCAGCATCCAAACATCCGTGTTCCAGTTCTCACCCTGCTGTGTGCTATACAAGCGCACTGGGAAGCGTCATCTGTGGGAACACTCACACCTGAAGGGAAGGTGCAGCAATACTTTGTTAACACCTTTTTTAAGGGAGGAAAGCTTGGCTCTGCCAAGAATACACAGCTACACTAGCTGTGTTAACCTTATTACGTGTTGCAGCAGTAGCTGGAGGCACTGCTTGCGTACGACTTACTGCAGTGTGCACTGGGTGCGCACATGAAACCGAAGAGCATCCTGGGCAGCCCTCCTCTGCATGTGATGACTTCCTGTTGTCCAGTCTGCCCTTTCTGTAACTTTCTTTTATTTTAATTATTTTATTAGTACTTGGAAACTGCACCAGTCTTATCTTTTCCTTATGAAAGGACAGGATAATTTTGGATAGCAAAAGATGCAACAAACTTTCCTTGTAATTAGTAAAGAAATCCTTTGGTTGCTGGAAAAGAGAGACGCTATATTGAACAGGGAGGCTGTTGTAACTCACATATTGGATACCCTTGTTTGGCAGGAGCTGCCGGGCCAGGCAGTAGTGTTGCTATAAAACTAGACACAATTCATGCTGTTTCTTACCCAGTTTGGTGTGTGCTAGGGGATCTGATGAAGAGCTGAGGTGACTGCCGTGTGGGAAGAGGACAAAGACAAATCCATAGGAAGTCTGCCTCATTAGTACCACTGTTCAAAGAACAAGTTGGTTTTCGTTGAGATTTTTTAAATTAATGGTGTCCTTTTATATTACAGCGCCATGTGTATGGACATTATTGCTCTGGTATTTAATTAAAACCACAGCTGGTGATCATTTAATTGTAGTGTACGAAAGGGAATGATACTTGACTATGTAGCATTGTTTTATTCAATTTAGAGAACTGAAGCCGTTTTTTCATGTGTTATTTGAAAGCCGTGGTGAAGGATGCAAAACCTGATGAACAAAGTGATGAGCTTGATTATAACACTTCCCCTCTATTAAGCAAATAAGGTGAAGCAGTGGCTTATAAATTCACCAGCTTTCCTGAAAATTGGAAGTCGATTATGAACAGATTGGTACGATTAGGCTGGTTTTGTTTCTCCATACTGTAAAACCAGTGCATAGTTTCCTGTGGTAGGAATAACAGCTTTCTGCTGAAGGCCAAGAGTACTTAAAGATATTCAGGGTGTTTCTGGGTTATTACAAGATTTCAGTGTACATACTTGAAAGAAGCTATGTAGCATATGCCCATAGCAGGCCTGAGTTACGGCTTCTTAACTTGAAAAGAGAGGCTGCCTCAAGAATCTTAAACCTATGCAGCATAAAATTGTATGCGTGCGTATTTGTGCTTAAATGCGTAACTGCACACATGTAAGACATTTTTGTAGCTGATGTAATAAAAATGCTTTCAACTGAACCCACAAATGAGGATGTCCAAAGCTTCTAGCATAACTAGTTAAACTGCCCTTAAAACTGCAGAATTCACATCTAAAAATCTTTCTAAAATGATTTTTTCTGTTCTGAGGCCAGAGATGGCCTTTTCTGCAGCAGTGGGAATACTGTATGGGAAGGAGCTGTTGCCAAGTGATCTAGCCTCTCTGCTGCCATGTAGCTACTTTCACACACCAGTGCGTGAAAACAGCTGTGGTTTTGCTGGCTTCCCGTATTGTAAAGGTAAAACTGGTATCAAAATAGGACTCATTAGCAGATTGACTGGAAATGGAACAAGAAAAGTAACTTAGAAGTGACCCGCCCAATACAATGACAGAGCAAAGGACTGAAGCTGGCCGGAGGACTAGAAACAGGGCTTGTGTTTCAGTCTGAATCTTGGCAGCAGAGTGTGTGCTGTGTTGCTTGATCTGGTGTGAAAGGACACGTTTGTTTTCTCAGCCAGTATAACTTGGAGTTGTCTCCTTACTGCTACAAAGAAAGACTTCAGATTCAGTGGCTAATTTTTCTCCTGGACATTTCGGTTGTAGCTGTCAGTACTGAGTATTGAATTCTAGCTGATGCCTTCAGTGTAACAATGAATGGGATATTTCAGGACAGAAAGAGAGTGTTAATGAGTTACAAGTATAGGATTCTTTTAAGAATTGTTCTTGATTTTGAAGTTATGTAGCTAACATAATTTAGAAGATGTTAGTTATCCTAGTCTGCTACATATTTCCACGTGCTGTGAGTTAAATGTAGAACATATTTTTCATCAAAAGGCTCTACTGCAGAAAGAAAAACAGTTCAGGTTCTCCATGTGTGGCTTCAGTAGATTAGAATCATTGAAACTCACTGACGTGGGACTGAGGAGAACAACTACACAGCAGTAGCTCAAAGAGGAGTAAGCTGTAATTGCAAAATAAAACTGAATCCTATGCATGGAGCTATTTCCTTCACGAAACTGATAACCTCTGTATGTCTGAAGGCATCAAAACATGATACACCTTCTTTCATAATACAAATCTGAGTCAACATTTAATGTAAAGTTTTATAACACAAGACTCAAACTACTTCCTATTAAACTAAAGTTAGAACTAATCTGCGCATTTCCAGCTGAATTATACTTCATTGTATTTATCCTTATAATGCATTTTCTGATGAAGGAATGCGTATGCTGTCTGGAGAGGAGAATTCCATGTAAAAAAGTATTTAGTAGCATGTGGACTTCTTTTAGACTTTTGTTATACTAAATTCCTATTCCCTGCTGCAGAAATCCACAGATATTGTAGCTATGGTATAATACTATATCTTTTTTCATGCTACATGGCTTGTGAATTGGCTAATTTGTTTCTTTCCTTTTGTCTTCTAGCTTCATTTAGCAGCCCTGGCTTCATTAAAGGGAGACATAGTGGAGCTTAATAAACGTCTACAACAAACAGAAAGGGAACGTGACCTTTTGGAAAAGAAGTTGGCAAAAGCACAGGTGAGGAATAGTTCAAGACTGTGAAGATGGTCCTTGGGTTTGTGTTGTTCTTCAGAGAGGAATATGGTATGCAGGGAGAGGATAAAATATCTGAACAATGTCATAAGTGAAAAGAATTTTAAGACTGCAAGAAACATAGTTGCTGTGGGTTTTAAGTTTTATGTGATGATGACATTCTTCTGAAGAATACCAAGAGCTAGATTACTTTTGTTTTGAAGCCAATATAAATAGCAACTGCTTTGAAATATTTTAGAATATTAAAATTGCAGCATACTCTCAGTGGATTAGGTAACCAATTGCAGAGCCTTCCACTCCTGGGTCAGATTCAAACACAGCACAAATTAGCTCTGAACAAAAACTATTGCCATTTGTCTGTGCTTTGGTGGTATGTGAGAAATTATTTGTGATCTCAGTCTAGCTTCTAGTAAGCCAGTTTATATGTATCTGTTGTGGAAAACACAGTCAGTGGAAAGCCAAGGGATTAAATAAGAGTAAGGTCTGAACTCTAATACTTTCAGAGCTCTTAAAAAAACCCCTGTCTTCCCAGTCTTTTCAGATAAAGATAAATGTAGAGAGACAAATAAAAGCTGAACTATTGTTCTTAGTATTTCTCTCCTCTATAAATGAAAACTTTGTTTTCAGATACCGTAATTGTGGCAAATGCCTTTTATAAGTACTTTACATTTCAAAACTAATTCAAAATATATACTAATTTATACTTGCAGAGAGACAGTCAAATCATTTTGTGCTGTAAATTATAGCATCTTATGTGTTGCCCAGAGAGGTTGTGGAATCTCCAACACTGAAACTACTTAGGCCACCTGGACCTGGTTTTGGGCAGCCTGCTCTAGGTGACCCTTCTTGAGTTGGGTAAGGGGTTGGATGAAAGGTGTCCAGAGGTCCCTGTCAACCTCAGCCTTCTGTGATTTTGCGAAGTAAGAGTCTTCAATATTCGGTATATTTTGGTAGGGGCTTGTATCTGTGTGTTACTTAAGCCAAATGTAGAAATGTTTAAGCAGTCTGGATTTTAAGGCTCTTACTTCAGGCCTCCAGCTGTATTTTGGTCCTTGATGCTTTTTTCAGCTACCTTTAACATTTTGGGGCTTGTAAGTTATACTCTTAATTGATGCAACATCCAGAAATAAAAAGCACTTTCATGTTTTTATTCCCCTCAATATGTGAGCCAGATCTGTGCTGGGGGTTAACATTGTTTATCAGCTATAATCCTGAAAGCCTTTTCTAATTTCTACTGCACTCGGAGACTGAGTCCTCTTTCTGACATACAGTTTGATATGAGGCTGCATTTGAAATCATTAAACAGTTGGATGTATGCACTGTGTCCAAACGATCCACATCTTTCTGCATGACTACACTGACTTTGTTGTTATTTATAACTCTGCAGTGTCTTGTGCTAACCACGGGTTTTTGTTAGTGTTTTAGTTTTATTTCCAGATCTTTGTTTAAAAATACATGTATCACCTCTCAACCAATGAAGAGTGCCTTGTAGGTGCTCCCATACAGTAATGAATCCTAGTTGATGGTGACTCAGATGAAGGATCAGTCCTTAATCCCAAGTAACATGTGCTCTGTTAACATGAGATTGTTTGGTATTTTCTTTGATGAGTTACCAATCACACATCTCTATGTAGTGCTCAATTTGTACTGCTGAGAGTTTTCAGATGATCTTGGGCTGTATGCTTGTGAACACCAGTGTAGTGACAACTGTTACCAGAACTGTGAGTAACACAAAATCGGAATATCTGAAAGCTAGCATGCTAGCTATCTTTCAGATAAAAAAAATTACTTTTTTAAAGTTTTATTGTTTTAGGTCTTTTCAATTGTCTTTTAAAAAAAGCCCTGCAGTGGATAGAAATGTTTTGGGATGTGCATTAATAAAATACAGTCTTTCTTAAGGAATAAGCCATTAAACAAGCACAACTCATATATTCAATGTGTTGGCTATGTTTTAAGTACTGAGACAGACTCTGGTAAAACCAGTTTACCTTTTTTTCTTTATCTAACTGCATCACTTCCAAGTAGATGCTCCACTTAACATAATTTTTTGAACTTTTCCTCCCACTCCACAGAGATTCATCCAAACTCATATCGTATCACATCATATCACTTTTTTCCTCTACAACCTCTGTCTAATGCATTTCTTCCTCACTAATGCGAATCAGAGGTTCAGAAGGCATAAATTAAATAAGAGGTGTTTGAGGTTCTGCATAACCATATTTAGATGACAGTGGGTCAGTATTAAATCTCTATTCTGCGTCTGGACTATACTTACAAAGGCAGCACATGTTTCAGTTCAGCTGGCGTGGTAGATGCTCTCTGGAACAAATAGGTAATATCTTTCCCATCATTCCATAAGGCATGCAAGACGCTTTGGAAGAAAGGATTAGAGATTTGCAGAGTGCAGGTGATTTGGGGAGCCACAATTCAAATAATAGATGACAAATGGTGAAGAAAGATAGTTGGATAGCCTGTACTTAAAATTTTACGAAAAGACATAATTGGTTATTCAGTTGTTGTATCATGCTCATTTCCAAAACTGCAGTCTGTGGAGCCCTGCTATAGCCTTTGCCTCTATTATTTCCGTAAAATAGCAGATCTCCTTGTCTCTATGTTTGTACTGGTGTACAATTTGGCAAAGGAATGATCTCTTGAATGAAATTTGCTATAAAGTACTGGTCAACCACAGCTAAAGTCTTCTTCCAAAAATCTTTCTGTGGTTATGAGAAGAAAAGTAGTGCTTTCTACTAGCTCTGTCTGGCACGGTATCCTGGCTTTGATAATGATAAATAGTGGATGTCTGAAGGGGAAGCATAAGAAACGCATTGAGGGAGTTGTCCTCCTTCATACTCCCCCACCTTTCTGCCAACATCTGTGAGCAGGAGGCTGCATCACATTTAATAGTGCTCTATGGTCCTGTCCTCCATGGATTTATCTAATCTTCTTTCTAATCCATCTACATTCTTGGCATTTCCTACATCCTGTGACATTGAGTTCTGCAGTTTTATGATAGAATGTGGGATTTAATAACATGCTGAATGTTTCAGCAAATAGAACAGGAACAAACAATTCACTTACTACATCTTTTTTATCATCCCATGCCCTTCCACCACGTAGTCCTGCTCTCACATTCTTTGTGCTTAGTCCTTATAATTTTGGAATTTTATAGTAGCTCTAGACATGGGGTAACAAAGACTACATCCTGTATCACACAGCAATAAGCCCCATTACAGCAGTAATAATTCTTTACCATCTCCTCTCGATTATTCAGAATACAGGGAGGGACAGCAGAATTTCAGTATAAGAATAAAACCAACACTCTGTAAGCATATAAGAACAGGAATGCTTCAGTTTCTCATTTAACAAGGTAACTTGAAATAGAAATGCACAGTGTTTAGACGAACATTGAAATTACTCATTCAGTTGTGTGATGTCCTTATCTCACATGGATTAGTCCTGTGTACTTGTGTTCTTCCACATCAAGTATACACAGCATATACCAGCAAACAATTAATTCTGACTATGCATATTTTTGTGATTCAGGATTTGGCACAATGGACTTGTGTTTATACTTAAAATTAGATGAATTGATTACAACTTTAAAATCTGCCACTCCTCTTAAATTAAAATACTGTATTAGTTGAGTGAAGATTTTTAGCTCCTGTCCTGTTAGACAGGTTTATCATCGTGGCTTATTCAGGTGGTGACTTGTATTCTTGGTGAACAATGCCATAGCCAGTGTTTGTCTCTGCAGGGCCTGAGGCACTAGGGAATCTTACTGGGCACTGCTGCTGGTGGTTCTTTTATGTCCTCTGTCTGAACACTGCAAATTTAACATAAAGGTTTGCACTGGTAGTGTTTCTTGCGCTAGGAATTTGTGTACATTAATAGGCAGTAGAATCATGTGTTGAGACAATGTCCTTGGGTTTAAATATTTTCTCTTATCATCCCTCTCCCTCATACTCTTCTTGCTCTTGTGGTTGTTTCCCCGCATCAAGAGGTCAGACAAAGGTGTTTCCAGGCATTATTAATTTATGCTGTGATTGAAATAACCTTTTCAGTTTGTACCAGAACCCAGCCAAGGGTCACTTACAATGAGAACTGTACTGGAAACTTCTCTCCTGACCTCAATTGATCATCTTTTGCAGCCTCTCAGTGGATGATCCCTGTGTTTGCTTCCTCAGAGAATTAGAGCTCTTAATGGTTTTGATCAGAACAGAAGTATGAGGCTGGAAGAGGGATGAGGAAAAGGGTGTAAGGCATTCATCTTAAGAAGTTTGTGTGACTGACATGCAAGTTAATTGCAAGAGCTGAATGTGTACACCTTGGAAAGAAACTGGTGGCAGATTATTATTCTGAGACTCAAAGGACACAGAAACTAAAGAGGGTGATGAACAGATTCAGTATGCCAGAAAACAACTTTAGCAATGGGCACTAAAACATCCATTTGTTTCTTTTTTCTTTTAAGCTTTGAGATGAATGTGCCTTAATAAGGAGCAACTCTGTATAACCAGAAGAATTTTCCATTGATGCATTTTGGGACTCATACTGAACTATGTTTCCGTTGTTTGGATGCTTCTACTTTTTTTATACAATCATAAAACAGTTTGGGTTGGAAGGCACCTTTCAAGGTCATCTAGTCCAACCCCCCCTGCAAGGAGCAGGGACATCTTCAACCAGATCATGTTGCTTAGAGCCCCATCCAACCTGACCTTGAATGTTTCCAGGGATGGGGTATCTACCACCTCCCTGGGCAACCTCTTCCAGAGTTTCCTTGTGAAATATTTCTTCCTTATAGCTAGTCTAAATCTACACTCCCTTAGTTTAAAGCCATTAGTCCTTGTCCTATTGCATCAGGCCCTGCTAAAATGTTTGTCCCCACCTTTCTCATGAGCCCCCTTTAAGTACTGAAAGGCCACAGTAAGGTCTCCCCAGAGCCTTCCTTCCTCTAGGCTGAACAAGCCCAACTCTCTCAGCCTGTCCTCATAGGAGAGGTGCTCCATCCCTCGGATCATTTTTGGCCTCCTCTGGACCCACTCCAGCAGGTCCATGTCCTTCTTGTGCTGAGGGCTCCAGAGCTGGACGCAGGACTCCAGGTGGGGTCTCACCAGAGCGGCGTAGAGGGGCAGAATCACCTCTCTCGACCTGCTGGCCACGCTTCTCTTGGTGCAGCCCAGGATACAGTTGGTCTTCTGAGCTGCGAGTGCACATTGCCAGGTCATGTCCAGTTTTTCATCCACCAGTACCCCCAAGTCCCTCTCAGCAGGGCTGCTCTCGATCCTTTCATCCCCCAGCCTGTATTGATAGCGGGGATTACCCCGACCCAGCTGTAGGACCTTGCATTTGGTCTTGTTGAACCTCATGAGGTTCACACAGGCCCACCTCTCCAGCTTGTCCAGGCCTCTCTGGATGGGATCTTGCTGAGGTTGCACTCAATCCAGCTGCCTGTGTAACTGATGAAGATATTAAATGTTACTAAAGCCAATATGGACCTCTGAGGGACACCACTCATCACTGATCTCCATCTGGACATTGAGCTGTTGACCACTACCCTCTGGATACAACCATCCAGCCAGTTCCTCATCCACTGAAGAGCATGTCCATCAAATCCATGTCTCTCCAGTTTAGAGAGAAGGATGTTGTGGGGGACAGTGTCAAAGGCCTTACAGAAGTCCAGACAGACTGGACCTTTTTAGATGAGACTTGGCATCACTGGCCAGCACTTACAAAACGTAACTCTGTACCCACCTCCAAGGCACAGCAGTCCTTAGCATCATGTCCTGTCTTTCACAATGGTTTGCTTTCTGCCTTTGCCAGTTACTTTTGCTCAAGATAATCGAAGAGCCCTTTTAAAAAATCAAATATATAGCCTTTGTCTTACATTACCAGATTGCTGGTTGCTCACAAAGTATATCTGTTGCTAAATGATGATCATCCTGAAAAATGGTGACTGAGAAATGTCTGGAAAAAACAGAAAACAAGTCTGGTAATGTGGCTGAGGTCCATTAGCAATAGTCCACATATCTTCAGTCATGATAAACAACTTCTGCTGTTCAGTGCACAGCTTAGAAAGACAAAAATTGTTGTGATGTGTTTTTTATTTATTGTCTGAAAATAATTATTAGACACTCCATCTGAAACATCCTTTTGGTTTGAAAGAAAAAAAACAGGACATATAACTGATTGATCTGGATAATGCTTAGGTAGCGTTTGTGGGCATCAGTGTGTGTGAGAGGCAATTTAGGTTTAGAAAGGCAGAATAAGCCACTCCTTAATTGCACTTAAATCTGTTCTAAAGCTTTTGTTAAACAGTTTCTCTGTGTTATTTCTGCACTTTGAAAGCCGTGGTAGTTCTTCAGTCAGATACGATGTTAAGATACAGAAACGTGAGAGATAAGTTGTGGAATGATCCTACAATAAAAAGTAATTATAATATATGTGTGTATGAGGTGGATTGAGAACTGGCTGAATGGCAGAACTCAGAGGGTTGTCGTCAGCGGCACTGAGTCTACTTGGAGGCTGGTAACTAGTGGTGTCCCTCAGGGGTCAGTACTGGGCCCAGTCTTGTTTAACTTCTTCATCAACGACCTGGATGAAGAGTTAGAATGTACCCTCAGCAAGTTTGCTGAGGACACCAAACTGGGAGGTGTGGTAGATACGCTGAAGGCTGTGCTGCCATTCAGCATGACCTGGATAGGCTGGAAAGTTGGGCAGAGAGGAACCTGATGAGGTTCAACAAAGGCAAATGCAGGGTCCTGCACCTGGGGAGGAACAACCCCAT